AAAAAAAAAAAAAAAAAAAAAAAAAAAAAAAAAATGATTCGTTAAAAAGACGGAAAACGTCGTGATTCCGATAGGCGAATTATACTAAAACCACTCATTCTAAACATTCAATAAAAAGCAACATTTTTTTAAACCGAAATTTATTTTCATCATCCTCTTAACGATTAATTATGGTGAGTAGAATAATACTTTTTTTGAGATTTTATACGTGTCCTAATTGCCTAGCTGCATGCTAATCCACAGTTTTCCGGTGTAGTTTTGTACTCATCAGTTGTCACGGAAGTTTAGAATTGTAACATTTTCATTCAAAATTTAGTGACCACTTTTCTGCAGTGAAGAATAACTGCTAACTGGTAAAGTTTTTTTGCATAGATTTATTAAAAATGCGCTAAATTTAACATAAAAATCGAATTTTTGATAAAACGTTTAACCGTAAGATAACTTGAGAGCCTTGAAAATGCAGTTTTTTATTCCTTAGAAGACGAGGCCTTCAACTAAGCTCTCTAATACTTGAAAAGTAAATTAGAAAATTCACTATCAATGTGGCGAAAAACATTGTGCCGCCAGCAGGGGTCGAACCTACGACCTTGGGCTTATTAGACCCACGCTCTAACCGACTGAGCTATGGCGGCTCACACCGAGGTGTTGTGGAAAACTGTATGAAAACATCGCATATGTTTTGCATTAATCAATCGAGGTTTGGCAAGAAACTGCGCAATGGCCGATACAAATTCATAAGATTACTGAAGGTCACCATATATTGGCCTGTATTAATTTTAGATTTTATGTTTTTTTGCAGAAATCTGATTACAGAAAAAATTTATTTTTTGCATACTTTTTGTCGCTGCTGCTACATATTGCCAGACACAACAATTTGATATTCTCTGTGGTATTTATTATATATCAGAATTCTTTCTACATTTTTCAGTTGAAATATCTAGTTAAATAGAATTCATTGAGTTACATATAGTTTGTTTTCTTTTTTTTGTCAAATTAACTTGTATAATCTAAAATATTTTTAAAGACTGGAAAAAGTTTTGATCAATTATTGTACCAAACTGTTATGTTGCTCATAAAAAATAGTCTGTAGATTAAATTGAACAAGAAAAAAAAAAAGAAGAACATTTATTTTGGTGTAATAAAAAAAAAAGTAAAAACGAAAACGATTTTTAAACATTGTCTTACAGGTTGATCTAATAGTAGGTGATAATTGCGGTGCAGTAAGAGTTTAAAATTTGACCTTCTGTTATCACCGTTGTCATTCGCACCGTTTTCATCAATACCTTTAATACTGCTGATGATAGTATCGGTTAGTAGCATTAGTGTTAGTCAGTATAATTTTTGATAAAACTATCTTGTTTAACACTGTTTCCGATTTAGTGAAGGCTTACATTTAATGAAATAAAATAAAACAATTTTTAAGCTAATTTATTGTACAGTGTGCTTTATAATGTTTTGAAAAAAATTTTTTGTTCCAACTTTTTATCTGTTAGGTAATAAAAAAAAAAAAAATTGTAAAAAAGAGGAAGAAAATACAAAAATTATTTGCATAGTAAAGCAAAAAAAATTTGTTTTTGAAGGGCTGCTAAAGCAGTTGTTGGTAGCGTTTTTTCGCTTAATTAATTTTTGTTTAATTATTTCTTCTTTTTTTTTTTCTATTTTTTTGGTTCTTGTCTTATGTTTATCAATCTCGGCTTCTACTGCAATTCTGGTTTTTTTTTTTTTT